GGGTATATTAAGTTCGTCATTCTTTTTGTAACTCATCGAAATAATAATTTTAGACCTAACAAAGTGTATATATTCTTGATCAGCGTTAAATTCTATGACGAAGTTCCGCAGTCAGGTCAAGTTCGAAGATTGGTTATATCGGTACACTTTATCGTATAGTCCTTCTATAATGGTACCCAACGATATTCGGTATTTTGTTGATTTTAGCCACATTTTCCAATGAAATTGTCCGAAAATTCATACTAGGAATACCTTCTAAGTACTTCACCCCCTGGAAGACTATATAGTTCCCCGATATCGTATGGTCCCTATACAATGGCATCACCCGATATTTGGTGTTGTGATGATTTTAACAACATTTAAAATTTCGTTTCCAATTTCGTATTTAAACTTCATAATACAGCCCATAACAAAAAATTACGTCTTCGCATAGCGCAATGTAACGATACCTCCCGATATTCCGAGGTTTAATGATTTTGGGACGTTATTCACCGGAATTGTTTCAAATTTCGTATTTAAAGCTCGTAATGGGTACTACACACTATGATGGTAAATTGTTTATGCAGGCCCATATAGCCTTCATGTAGCACACATATAACGGTTTTCCTTTGAGCGGTTTTTTTTTCGAATTTTTTCAAGTTCCTTCAAAATGGTGGAGGATATTGGTCCGGCCGAACTTAAATTGCTTTTTTACTTGTTGATCTTCACGGTTATTTAAAAGTTCATCCCGTTGTGGGGGAGGTACCGGAAAGAGTGGTATATATTTGATAAATATCCTTGGAACCATATAGCTGAAGGTATGACGAGTCCCGAAGCTTCACTCAATTTTGCAAAAAAAAAAATATATATATATTTGGCGGATCCTTTACAACTAACTTTTTTTTTAAACGTTCCGCATTTACAGTAATCCTATTAATAGAATTTATTATTCCATTTCTTTTCCTACACTATATTTCAAACATAGTACAATATACAAAAAATCTCCAAATCTGAGCCCGTCACACCAATTTCTGATTTTAAGCACCACGCGTTCGCCCAAATACCGATATAGTATAATTTAATTGTTTTCGCATATTGGTAGCAGTGGCCCCAATACCAATATTTCAAATTTCCAGCTAAAGTCGTTATACAAAATTTAGTACCTTTAGAGTTCTTACATTTATCAAATACTTCCAAACCCACCTCCTTATATCAACCCTACTTTCAAAACTTAATTCTTAAATATAATACCAAATGTTATGGAACTTGGTGCTTTTAGTTCGAATTTCTAAATTTCAGTAGGAATATTTATTCTACACCACTATGAATTGCATTTTTAGTACTTTAAGTACACTTGTAGTTCTAATTTCTAAAACAGCCTTATCTCAAGCAACAATATTCCAAAATTCGAAATCAGTAAGTCACTTTTGTCTTTTATATATATTTTTTTTCAGATTTCCTCCAGAGGTGATGACACCCAAACAAAATAATATATTTTTTTAATTCAATCACAATTTCAATAAAAATATAAATCAATTACGAGGTATAATAAATCGATTATGCTATAATGAGTCGAATTTGTTTCCATCATATATATCATATATATATATATATATATATATATATATATATATATATATATATATATATATATATATATATATATATAAAAGGTTTATTTAATGATTCGTGATTTTAATGAAGCTATGAAAACTGTCACTCCCAAAAAATGCTCCTTTCTACAGATACCACTGCAAAACCAATGCAATGTCTTTTGCTTTTATTGCGGAAAAATGCAATAAATATTCGCTATGACGATGGACACGGACATACTTATATGAAAAATAAACGAAAGTGTTCAAAATATTCAGATTCGTACATACATATATATATTTGTGTAAATTGCACATGACGACAACGAGGAAGTTAAAGTGGTTCTGATACGTTGGAATTTTTATTTTTATAGGTGTAACTGTGTGGGGGCGAGAATTTTAGATGGAATGAGGCCATCACAGAGGGAATATACACACGTAGTAGTTGTAGTTGTACTAATGACATAAAGGTAAATGCCCGATAATGTTTCATTTTTATTTGGTTTTCATACACACTAGCTATGAACATCTATATAAAAATGAAAAATAATTGAGATTTAATAAAAAATAGAGGGACTATTTTAAACCTAGAATTTATTGTAAAATAAATAATTATACAAAAATATACATCTTACAACATTATGGCTAGTTATACGATCGCATTACCCAATTAGATAACAAGAAAAATGTAGATAACAAGAAAATTTGCAAAGAAGATCTTAATCCTCCAAACACCGGTAGAATTTTTCATTTAATTGTGGATGCTAATTAAATGAAAAGAACTTTACAAATCCAATTAAGTTGGAGAGCTGGAATTTTGTACACATGTAGCTTGTGCGAGCAGCCATATGATTTTCGAAGAAACTTCTGGTGTTTTGATGACTTTGCCACCCTACAATTTTTTCCGTAACTCAAGTAAAAAATGGTCAAAATTGGTCTACACATATAACTATACCTCCTGACTTGAGATATTTGAAAGGCTCGTTTCTATGAAATTGCCACAAATTTGATGTTTATACTATGTATTTTACAATATTCTTTGACCGAATGAGCCCTCATTTGACATTTAATGTTTTCAGTATGGTAAAGTGTTTTCTGGTAATAATCGTGCCATTCTGGTTCACTATGGCGCATAGTCATCATCAGACGTGTCAATTTGAGGGGTTTGGTTCCTTTTGTCACAAAATTTGTTTATTCATATGCATCAGTACTTTTTGATATCAGGTATTTCTATATATTTCTTAATTACTAAAATGTACAAAAACTTCGTATTGGACAAACGGAATGAGCTAGAGCGAAAAGTACTAAATGGTACTACATTTGGTATTCAGTGAAGGGAAAGAGACAGAATTCTGAAATTGGATATTTAGATTACTGACGGTATCTGTCATTAAGATTTGGGTTTGGAAATGTGTACTTTATTTGTACGAAAAGTACTAAGTGGTACTAAATTTGGTATGGGATGAAGGGATATATTTGGAACCTTCAAATTTGATATTGAGGTCTCTTTTGGTATCTGGAATTAGGGTATGGAGGTGTTTTTGTGAATTTGTACTATAATCGTATCTGAGGTTAAGATATGGAGATTGTTTTTATTTTCTATAATTGTTCAAAAAGTTCTATGTGGTACTAAATTTGGTATTGGGTGAAGGGATAGAGCTAGAATCCTCAAATTTGATATTGGGGTCTCGGGAAAAGGCATAGAGCTGGAATCTCGAAGTTTGATACTGAGGTCTCTGTTGATACCTGTTTTGAGATACAGAGGTGGAAATTGTAAATGTTAACTATAAAAGTAATGAGTTCGCATAGTACAATGATATCAAGGTAGGGCTATGATACCATATGATTTCAATTTTTTTTATTTTCTTGGCTTAATATGTCATCTTTATTTGTTTATGTATGTGTTTTCTTTTCCATAAAAAAATTGTTCAGAAAACATTCAAATTCGGATGTTTTCAAAATCGTAGGCATCGACAAAATCTAGAGTTTTTGTAGCGAAATAATCCTTTAGAGATATATAGAACCTGGTTTTGAAAAGTAGTGTTGACCTTTCATTCAGTTTTCGCGGTTTTCAATTATTTATTCAAAATAAATGCAACAAGTTGTTTGATTTTTTTATTGTTTTGATACTAATTCTGACATTACAAGCCAAACAGGTAGACCTCTATACTTGCAATTTTTTCAAAGTTGACCTACCTTCTCTTCATTGTACCATGTGAGTTCGGTATTAGGTGAAGGAATAAATCTTAATTTTGAAATTTGATATTGGGGCCACTGTAGGTTTCTGAGGTTTACATTTGGAGAATTTGAAATAGTTTTGAAAAAAATCGATGTGGGTCCATTGTGCAATTATTTTACTAATATCCTCTTCGGTAAACATCATAATGAAAGGTTTTAAAGACTCTTTGGTGTAAAAGATTCACAGTTTTCTGTTATTCTTTCGGAAAAGGGAAACCTAATCATTACAAATTTTTAATTCTGCGAGTCTATTCCAATCAATTTTTTTGATTTTTTTTGGAAATTGCAACTGAAATCTTTACAAAACCGCACACCAAAGGAAGCTGTTTTATGTGGTGGCACTCCCTGGGTTTTGGTCTTGTGAATATTTTAGCCACAATTTCCAAACAAATCCGACCGATATCCACTATCTGGTATATACATTTCCTAATATTTAGTATTTGAGGTATTTTAGTCCTTATTTTCCACTAAATTGTGGGTAATTTGATATATGGTTTCTTAAAGGATAACATTTTCAGTTGCAAACATTTTCAATATTGGTTCACGTATTGACATGAGCTTTCTAACGCAAATCTGCACAATTGTAGAGTTTTATGAGGTCGAAATGGAGGTTTCTAAATTCTCTAAAGATCGAACAAGCATGGACTTACAGAACATGTTCTCTAAGTACAAAAGTTTTTGTACAGTACGATACAGTACATTTTTAAAACTTCAATCCTTATAAAGCAAATTTAAAAATAATATTGTATCATATTGCATCAATAGTAATAAATCAAATCTTCAGAAGCCATAGATACATTATTTATACCTTTTCCTTGCATAAATCCAACATTATTCTAAATATTACAAAATTTCCAATCTCCTTCATATCTTCCACTGTGCGCCCTGAGCAAAAAAGAATATTTGTTTAATTTGCTTATTTTTATATAAATGAAAATTTTACGAAGGCGTTATATATTTCATTCTTGATGTGCATCTGTTTGTATACATCTAGACAATTAGTATACAAATTCACACGTTTATATTCATTCACACAAACGCGATTTGAGGGAAGCATCTCATTTTTTTGTTGCTTTGAAAACAACGCAGAATTTGTTTGTTCATTGCTAATTTTTGGGTTTTGTGGGCCACGGCAATTGAAATCCTTCAAAAGTGATCACTATATTATACCTCAAGCTAATTTGAACTTACCTAGCATTTTTTTCGGACTTGAGGGTGCTGTGCCACCTTCAAAACCAGAATCATTGCTGCAGGTACTCATGCGTATAATGTTCGGATCACCGGTGGCTGATGTGGTGCCATCGGCACCCACACCGCCTCCGTCTCCACCACCACCACCAGAAGCTGTTGCTGAATTCAATTCATCTTCATACTCTTCTGAGGCACTGGTACATTCATCACTGGTCGTTTCGTCGGTTTCCTCGGTGGAACCGCTCGCTTCACTATCTTCACTATCATCGTCGGAATCCTCATCGGGATAAACGATCTTTTCACGTTTCCAAAGAGGACGCGGTGTAGCGACTAGTGGGTAACGCGGTGCTTCTTCTTTCACATATAGCTTACGGGTCGTATCGATTTTCACTTTTTTCTGTGGATCGAAACGGGCCTGAGCCGCAGCGGCGGCGGCGGCCTGTTTCTCCTTGCGGTGACGTTGCTTGATTTTCTTTTTCATACTGGGCGTGAAATTATTCCAACCGTCTATACTATTAAAATCGAAATCACTCTCTTCGTCTGTGTAGTTTTGGTCGTCGTCACTGTTATCCGCGGACGATCCTTTATAATCTTCTAGATCTGCGTCAACGTCTTGTAAACACTGTGCCAAATTCGATACTGTGGCGAACTTTGATAGATTACCGCCGCATGTGTTGCTCTTGTTGATGGCGATATCGGCTGGCTGTTCGTTCGAGCTGGTGATCGTTTTGTTGCCGCCAATTTGCTGCTGTTGGCGAATTGTTGTTTGATTTTCGCCATCCAGCTTTGTGGTTGTGGTTGCTGCTGCCGTAGCCGTAGACACCGCTGCGGTGGCTGGCTTTGTTGTGGCGCTGCCTTTGCCAGAGCCGTTGGCGGCTTTTGCCTTTTTACTGTCGGGTGTCTTTTTGTTGTTGGCATTTTGTTTGGCCGGCGATGCATTCGATTTTGCAGGTGCCTTTGCAACAAATTGATCGGCGTTGATGACATTTGTTGGCGATTGTTTGGCTTTGCCTTTGGTGGGTGATGCTGTGGTGGCGGTTGTTGTTGCAGTTGCGGTTTTGGTGGGTGTTTTCTTTTTGAGCGGCTTTGCCTCCGTCGTGGCGTTGGATTTTGTTTCCGCTGTTGCCAACGCTTTTATTTCCGGTTGTTTTGTGGCCGCAGTGGTTGGCGGCGGCGGCGGTGGTGATGCAGCAGTAATTTTGGCATTGCTTTCGGTTTTGTTGGTTGTCAAAGTAAGTGGCTTTGCCAACAACGCTGGGGCCTGTTGGTCATTTGTTTTCGTCGTCGTTGCCGTGGTTGTTGTTGTTGTTGTTGCTGATGTTTTATTAATGTCTAATTCATCTGTTTTGTTGGCGCTGTTGTTGCCTTTGGCTTGTGCTGTTGTTTGTTTTGCCGTCGCCGCCTTTCGCTCTTCTTGCTCTTGTTGTTCAGGTGACTTGGCCTGTTGCCCGGCTATTTTTGTCATCGCCACGGCTGTAGTGGTGGTCGTTGTTGGGCTATCTAAAGCATTTGCTTTTCTTTCCTTGGAGTCCATAGAAATCTTTTTATTTTGGGTTTTATCGGCGAGACCGGTTGCTTTGACCTCTGGTTTTTTGTTGAGATTCAAGTCTTTTGTTTCGTTTGGGGTAAGGGGAGTCTTTGGAGATTCTGCAGGTTTGGCGGTGGTTATTTTCTTTGCCAAGGGTGAGGTTTTCTTTTCAGAGCTCTCCTCCTTTGTTTTGGAAACTAAGTCTTTTTTCCAGGGTACTTCTTTCTTGCCCCCAACATCCTCCGCCGGTTTGTCTTTTGCATCCTTTTTCAAAGCCGATTCATTTGAGTTTGAACGTTCCATTGTGGATTTGGCTGCCTGTTCGGCGGCCTCCTTAAGATCTTCTTGTTTTTGTTCAGCCACAGAGGCCTTAATTTCATCTAAGTTGGAAACTTCTTCCGCTGTGGTCGATTCCAGTAGCTTTTCCCGTTTCTGCCAGAGGGTATCCAATAGCTCTTGTTTTCGTTTGTTCATGTAAAGCGTTTCCCGACTACCTATTTGGGCCCAAAAATCTTCACCACTATCGGATTTTTTAATAGCTTTGCGTATGGGCTTCGGAGTTGCAACTTTGGGCTCCTCTGGTGCCATCTCTTTGGGAGCCGTTTTGAGTTCCGGTTCTTCTGGTATGGTTTCCTTCAAAGGTGTTTTTGGTGTTTTGGGTGTTCCGGGTGGTGATTTTAATTCCACTGTGATCGAATTGGATTTTTCGAGAATTTTATTTATGGGTTTGGGTTTTGCAACACTATCCAAGGATTGGGAAGTTTTCAGAGGTCCACCAAGATTTTTGGGTTTTTCATTTTCTTTAAGTGCTTTGGGTGCTGCAGAGGTTTTAAGTTCTATGGTTATGGAATTGGATTTCTCCAGAGCTTGTGTAGGTGGTGGTGTTGCAACCGAGCCAGCATCCAATGATTGGGAGTGTTTTAGAGTTTTTTCATCGCCGAAAATCACAGAAGTTTTTGAGGTGTTGGGTTCCACTTTTAAGGTTTCTTCTTTGGCAAATGTGGCTTCCGGAGTCTTTAGCTCTATGTTAAGAGAACTTAATTTTTCCAAGGGTTTGTTTTTGGTCTTGTCCAATTCAGATGTCTTCAATTTGTTGGGTGTGGAAGGTTGTTCAGTTTTTGTTACTTTTGGAGATTCTTCTACTTCTTTAGCAATGGAGGGAGTTTTTGGGCTCTCTTTTAATTTTGTATCCAAAATCTTAGCAGATTTGGGTTCTTCATTTGATTTTGTATCGGTTTCTCCAAATTTCCTTGAAGCATCTGGCTGGGGTACCTTTGGACTCTCTGGAGTTTTCTCAACTGAGGCGACTTGAGTGGATGTTTTGGGTTGTTTTTCACTTGTCTTTTTATTCAAAACCTTGGCTGTCCTGGGAGTTTTGGGCTCTTCCTCAATTTCTGGTTGGGCTTCCTGCCTCTTAGCCTCCTCCACACTGGCCTCGTCGAAGGTGAAAATTTCCGCCGTCGATTTTTGCTGGGCTTTCTTTGCCTCACCCTGTAACTTTTTCTTGGGCGATGCCTGAGGCTTTGGTAGTGGTGACATAAAACCTTCTGGTAGCTCTGCTGGCTCCTTGGACTTGCTCACCTTTTTAATGCTCTTCTTTTTGGGCAATTTGAAAACTTTGTGGATTTCATGATGCTCCTCCACCGTTTCTACATTGACGGTGAATTTGGGAAGTGATGCCGCTTCAGCTGCATCTTTCGGGTCAGGGCTGATTTTGCTCAAACCTATAGAACAAGAGGGGTCATTTTCGATTTCCACAATTGCGGTAATTTTGTGTCTAATTTTCTTGCCTTTTTTCGAGAGACGTTTCGAGGAGTGTTTGTTGAGACCACCCGCCAGGCTTCCACCATCCGAGCTGTCATGACTATCACGTCGTTCCAAATTGATGGTCTGAAACGTTCCCGAAGGAGATTTTTGCACTTGATTCAGTAACTGTTGTTCCTGTATGAGGCTGGCCCTGCGCCTCAAGGCCCCCGCATTGAGATCATCATCGATTTTATCCGAAGAAATATCTTCACAAATATCATGGAAAGTGGGACACTGAGGTATGCTGAGCTTACTCACCGTTTGCATATCCTTGTCCAATTCTAGAATTACTTCTTCAAAATTTTGTTCATTTTCTTGATTTTCTAATTCACTTTTCGTTGTCTCACTTTCCATATCTCTGCGTTTCTTTTCCTCGGGTTCGGTGTCAACATAGAGATCTTCAACTTTTTTGCGGTTACGTTCTTTGCTACGTGAACGTATAGTGGATAGTCTTACAACGGGACGATTGCGTCGGATGGTAGAACGATTACGAGGGGCCGAGGGTTCTTCGGCACCTTGTTGGGTTGTGTCGTATAAAGGTGTTGCGGTGTGAGGCTTGATCTCTTCTTGTTCTTCCTGCGGTGCCCGGTTGTGGGCGTTCATTATGTTGGCCATTTCGGATTCATGTTGCAGTTGGGCCTGCCGCAGGGCTTCCTCTTTACGTTTACGATAACGATTTGCCGAGACATCAATATCGGCTGTGTTAATCAGTATCGGTTTGGGTGGTGTGTACTTGGGAGTGTGGTGGTGTATTGGTGTGGTGCTGCTACTGCTGGTATAACTGGTGTATTTGGGGGAGTTTATGCGTGTCAAAGGTGATAGGGCACTGTGACGTGAAACACTCATCAAGGGCGAGGATTCAGTGATGGTACTCAACTTTGGCTGATAGCGAGAAGATGAGCTCAGTCCATGTGTGGTATAGGAGGGTGTACGTGGTGCCGAGATGGGTACCACATAGGAACCGGAAATGGCCCGATTGTAAGTTGAGGTATAAGGACTGTACGAAGAGGCCGAACTAATGGCACTGGAGCCCGGATAATAGGGTGAAAAGAGGGGCGTACTGCCACCACTATAGAAATAATTTGAATCACTGTACAAAGGCATGTTTGTTTGGGTTTTGCAGAACTTTTTTTAAGTTTTAAGATTTTTTTCTTTCAATTTCTTGTCACTTTAGATTTTTCTTCTTCTATGTTTTCAATTATTTGAAATATTTTTGTTATGCACTTTGTTTCATAATTTATTTTTAAACATATCCTCTAACGGTTGTTTTGTTTTTCTTTGATTGCAGCATTCTTTGCACGCTTGGTTCAGCTACCGTAAAATCGGTGTTTTTCTGTTTTGTTTTATTTTTTTTTTGCTTTTGCGTTTCGGGTTCTTAGCTATTTTCTTGTTTGTTGTTGTTGCTGTTGTTATGGCTCTAAAAATAATTGTAAAATAATTATATTCGCACTTGTTTTTTATTTTTAACTTAAAACTCAACAATTCCTAATTGTCATCTAAACGAAGAGGCAAATGAACGAACGAGCGAACGACGGAACTCACGGACATACGAATGAACAGCGCGTAACAAAACAACTAAATGGACCGATCAGGCAGATGGCGGTTTTCCACGGTGAATTTTTCCACAAACAAAAAAAATATTTATTTTTTCACCACTCAGCAATGCCGTTGGCCGATAGCTATTCGTTCACGTTTTTCTCCCGTGTAATATTGTTGCTGTAATTTTTCTTATAAAATATTTGCGTTTTTGTTATTGTTTTTTCTATAATATATTTAATTATTACTATTCTTTGCGAGCAGAATCTATTAAATTATGCAATATTTTTTCCTTGTTCTCAAATTATATATTAGAAATATTTCGCTGGCATTTTCAGGGTCTATTTCTGTGAATATTCGTTGTTCTGCTAATCAAAAAATAAAACTTTTTTTATTAACTCTTCTTAATTAGCATAAAATTTGTTTGATTCGATTTTTTTTTTGGAAAGCCGAAGTGTGCCTCACTTATGTGGCCAATCAAATGATATTTGGTGCAGTTTTACGTTGTCATGTGCCCTGACTTGATTTTCTGGTGGGCGTGTAGGATAGCTATTTTTGCGACAGCATATTTAAAATCCATAAATTGTGAAATGAAGAAATTTTGTTAATTTATAGATCTGCATGTTATTTGATGACGTTGTATGTTTGTGTGTGTTTGAAGGTCGTTTAGTAATACCACAACATATTTGCTTTATTGCTAAACATTGTGGCGGAAACTGTGGTTTTTCTTTTAAATAAATTCTTTACTTCATATCGTTTGTTTGGAAAATAATGGAAGGCAAATTTATGTTTTTGTAAAAGAAGTAAAAACAATATTCCGAATATTATGGCATTTTTAAATAATCTAAAATCCAGATATCAAATATTTAAACTTAAATTATTTTTATACCCAGACCCATAATGTTTTATATTGATCTTTCTACTCGTGAGTTGAGACGATCTGACTATGTGTCTGTCCGTTTTTTCACTTATCTATGTTTATTTGTAATCACAAAATTATGGCCCGATCCTCACGAAATTTTGCACGGGAGTAGGGTTTGGGTGTATTCTAGAAGCCTCTCTTTGTTGAAGATGACCGAAGAATATTGAGAGGATGAAATGTATCGAAAACTGATTTCTGATTTTGCATTGTATCTAAAGGTTACAATTATAGACCAATTGACACAAGTACGGTTAGTGTTAAGGATAGGGTAGAAGCCTACTATTTTGGATAGACCACAACTTTTATGTAAGAAATATCAAAATTTCCATTTTACCGCGAATGTTTTAGTGCTGAGAATCACTTCTAACCTTCGCTTTAATGCTTATTTCCTTGACGTAAAATATAGCAGGAATCTAAATCTTAAAAGTTTGTTTTGAATTTCCATTAGCAAGACAGAGTGCGTAAGAACTTTGCTTGACCGCGGAATTTAGCTTAGTATTGTGCCTTGCGGCAAAATATGTGTTGATATATGACATTATTTCAGGATATTTTTGGTAGTCTAATTATATACCCCAATATCTTGGGGGATTTATTTATTCTTGGGTTATAACACTTACAGAAACTTTAATGTAAATTTGAGTTTTGTAGGATATCACATGGTTGGGCCCGCCCGATTGTAGCCTTTGTTAACTTGTTGAAAATAAAGTGCATAGTAAGAACTGCTAACTTATGTCGATCTTTTATACGTGTACTTGAAAAAATAAAATGTTTGGAACACCTCACTGTAGTTTTGTTTTAAAAATATATTTTTTCTAATCAAAAAATGTGAAGACAATTTTCGAACGTGGCCAAAAATCCCCTAACACCACCATTAACTTCGATATAGTTTCTGAAACTTCAAATAATGTCATATAGTCTTTCAAAAGTATCAAAAGTATTTTTTACTAGATCCACAAGTCCATACAGTAAGCCCCCTCCGTTGTGTCAATAGGAATTAAAAACGATATATGAAAATTTAAATTTCCATGAATTTTTAGCTATTTCTCCGATTACTGACTGTCAGTTAAGAAAGTCTAAAGTATCCATGTATATATTTGATATTTCGAAGAGAAGTGGTTTTCAGTTTTAAAAATATTTGTTGTTGAATTTTTCACAAAAAAAAAATCCATTTCACCCGTTAAATATTCCAATTCTAGATTTATGCCTTTTCCCAAACTTCTCTTATATCATGCACAATTCCGCATCGATTGTTCTATTACCTTGATCTGTAGAGGATCATTAATATGAGGAAAAATATATATTTTGCTAACTATTCTGAACCTAACCCTTTCCCCATGAAAAACATCGTGAGGACCGGAACATAATTTCGATCTTTAGAATGATAACGACAGATATAGCTAAAGAGACTCAGGTAGTAGAGGTATAATGATCGGATCAGTATTTCGAAGTATAATACCATTAAATAGGTTCCACAGATTGGGTGCTACGGTATTGTGATGACTTTGCCTATGTCGAAGACCTTGTGCCACGGTATTAAATAACTATTGGAAGGATCTTGCAAAATATTTAAAAATTCCGTTAAAATTATTAAAATACCAAATATAGGGTGGTACAGTTTATGGAGACTATATAAAAACGTTGAAAAATGTGGCTAAAATTGGGAAAATTCCGTATATCGGAAGGTACCATACCAGGAAATGGTATCCATTTAAAACACCAAATTTAAAGCAATTCCTTCGAAAAATGTTTATGTTTATCGTTGGTTTATTTAGATAATTTTTAATTATAGGAGATAGTACCTATTGTTATCATCAAATTATGTCACAGAAGTTACAGAAAACGTACGGACATTGCTAAATCAACATAGATTTAAATGCTGATCAGGAATATATATACATTGTGGTATTAAATATATATTTTTCGCGGCGTTGCAAACAAACTTAATATACCCTCCACATCATGTGGAGGGTATGGATATGACGAATATGAAATGCAAAGTATTAACCCAATGTTGATAACATTTCCTAAAACCGATTTTTATTTATTTTTTTTTGAAATTACTAAGTGGTTTATCCATTTGAACACTCTACGTTATCACGTTTAGATATTTGGAGCTTAAGTTTGGCTAACTTAATTTTAAAATTGTAATTATCAAGTTCAAAGCTTGAATTAATGTTCGTCCTCACCTGACCCAGATATTTATGAACCGATTGTCACGAGATTTAATACGGAGTTTATATTTGAGATATTGAAAAAAAAAAATTAAAGCAAAAAACGCAAACATTTCATCATGGCCTGATCGATTCGAAATTGTTAATAGGATACAAGAGCTACAGAGATATCGAATCAGTATTACATTAAAACAATGCATGACGAAAATATCGTTTATTTAATCAAAGTGTGACTAATATAAACGACATATATTTATTTATCAGTGCAAAATCGAATATGATTTGAGAGCACATAAAATTATTGGTTTTGTTACTCCTCAAGAAGTTTTAAAAGCTTTTTCCAAATCGATAGGCAGACTTTATTCTTGTTAAAACTTGATAGAAAATTCAAGCAATTTAAAAAAAATCGAGAGTATGATTTTTACACAATTTGGGACATTTAAAGTGTAATTTTTTTGCTATTATCTTTTTGGCAATACTGGTGTAAACAGCTCACGAATGTTCCGAGTTTTGTTTTACTGTCAACGTCTTCAGTTTGGTATATAATTTAACCATGAATCGTCTTACTAACGAACAAAGCTTGCAAATAATTTAATTTTATTATCAAAATGATTTCTCTGTTCATCGCGCGTCTAGTGGATACGTAAATTAGCAGTTTATGGGCTGGTGACATAACATAACTGTAAATGGTGAGCGCTATCGTGAGATGATATCTAACCGTTTTGCTCAAATATAAGAACTTGAAACATTTCAAATGGACCAAAAACCGAAAAATTTCCTGATTTTGTAGTGGCTCTACAGGTCTCAATTATAGATCAATCAACGGAATTTTGCAAGGGGCTAGGGTTGGTCAGAAGCCTACCATCTTGTTTGGCCATCGGACAATATTTTGAGGGTAAAATATAACATAAAAATACGAAAATTTCCACTAAATCGCGAATAGTTTTAGTCCTGACGAAATCACAAATGCACGGCAATGTCAACACTATGTTTTGGGAGTATTATATTCAAGTCGCAATTGTCGTCCTATTCTCAACAAGTCGCAATTATCGTCCGATTCTCAACAAATTTTGTATGGGGATAGAGTTTGGGGTCAGAACTAAAGCCTATCGTTTTCAAGATGTATATTTAGGGGTTAAATTTTACCAAAAATTAAAACATTCCAATCAACACGGAATTTTGCGTAAGGTTGGGGTTTAGGGCAGCGGGTAAAATAGACAACGAATTTGTGTGAAAATGTTTTGGATACCTATCAGCACGACGTATAGTGTAAGTATAAAGAACAAATCCCCGGTAAAAAACAAAGGTAACATTTGTGCAGGACAGTATAGCATTATTTCAAATAATCGACTAAAATGTGTTTGGTATCACATGGTGTGTAGGGTATCACATGGTCGCACTGCACGACTATAGCCTTTGCTTACTCGTTTTTTTAACTTTCCTATTGCCTTTAATTTATAGCTAGTCAGAGTTCTTGAAAACTTCAAGTGAATTTGATAGTATGGTATGTTCCTTTTTAATTTCCCCAAATTTTGGTATTTTTAGGTCTTTTTGTATAGAAACACTACCAGAAAAAATATCAATACAGGTCTACGTTTTGATGTAGCTCTTATGGATCACTTTTCTCAATCAATTTGTCTTTAACTTGGTAAATTTCAATGTAAATTTAAATGTATGTCCATATTGTGGAGTAGAGCCCATATAGGAATTTAGCATTTGGAGTTCACAATATGTATCATCTTCTCAGGCAGAAAATTGCATGCCCAGGTCCATGTTTTCGTATGGTACCTGCGATATTCGGTATTTTGATAATTTTCAACGAAATTGATTTTTTTGATATTTTTAGTTCATAAAGGTTTCCGTCCTATGACAGAAAATTTTTTTTAAAAGTCTACCTTCTCTTGTAAGTCTCTCGAAACTCAGTATTTTGACGATTTTACCAAATTATGGAATTATTTTAAATTGGAATTTGAAGTTTGTTAAGGGTAGGATTTTACCTATATGCCTCCAGGTTTCGGTATAGTCCATCTATAACTGTACCTCCCGATATCACCAAAACAAAAAAGTCTAGACACATTTTTCAACTGATGTTGTTATGCGTTTGGGTATATTAGTAAATGGTAAACTTTCTTAAAAAAATACCCTTCAATCCCTCTTCACTTAAACCACACTTTCCTATCGGTCGGATTATTTGTTTTTCACAAATATAAGTTCTCCAACTTGATGAGAGTTCATCAAACAATTCCCTTGGACATATTAGAGGTTATAAAAAGTTCGAGCCGACTAAACTCAACACCGTTTCACTAGGTTTTATTTACTAAATATATTATCTGGCTTATGTAGCGCCAGAAACCTGGGCTTTATAGTTTATTATTTTGACATTCACGAAAAAATTTAACCAAAATCGGCACAATAAAAATTAACTTGAAACTTTCAGATTATAAGTATTGGCACCAAAATTAAACCAACAACAAAAAAAAAACTTTTAGTTATTTGTAAATGTCCATCCCTCTGCAGTACTGAGATCATCGAATTTTCTTAGGTATCGACTATAAAAATAATATTTTCGTATCACATGATGGCCAATGATGATGATGCTGACGATGCTAATACGGTTGATTATTGGACCCTGTTGCCTCGTTGGCGGTCTGCATTTGTTATTAAAAAAAAAACAAAAACTCTTAAAAGCCAATCAGATAAATAATATTTATGATGACAGTTAACATTTGTGCCGTTTAAACGATAATACGTTAAATTCAAATTGACAACGAATTCATGTTTTGAACTTTTCTTCATTGACGACGATTGTCCGAATCGATAAAAGAATAATTATTTTGCCAAAGTTTTTTTTGTACTTTTTTTATAAAACACGAAGAAAAATTAGAAATCTGTTTTTAAAAATAAATCTTGCAAATATTATCTATTTTTCACAAAATAAGATTTTGGGTGTTGCACATCGCACACAGAAGCATTTGGGCGGCGGTGAGTCCGACAGGTATTCAACAATCACGCAAAATTTTCAAAATGACGTAAGACTCAGTTGTCTGAGGAAAGGCGAAGTTCTAGAAGATTTTTCTTGGCATCCCCAGGAAGATTTGAAAGAGCACACTTTCATTTTTTTCAAACACCAAATATCATTTGATTTTGTTTTAGGTTTTTTTTTGTATTTATTTTATTTTCAGTTAATTTTTACAAAGAAAATTTGATTAATTCTATTCATTTTCTATCATAATCTGCCAAAATCAGACACACACTTGCACGATTTATATATTCGAGATTTTTTTATGTTTTCAAAACGAACCGCTTTTTCAGAATTCACCGCAATAACTGAGACAATATTTCAAAAAATCTGTTCTTCTGTTCGCTGAGACGACACAATTTTTCTGCAAAATGTTCGAAAATCTTTTTTTTTTTTTTGTGTTTTCATTTTTCATTCTGTGTTAAGTTTTTTTCTCCTGTGTGTTTCGGGCAACAACAAAAAGCACATATTGAGAGTATTATGCGAGTTCATGTGAAAATAGGCAAATTTGCAGGGTTGCCACAGTCCCTATAGATAGATATAAATATTTATATACCTATGCGATATAAATATTTATATCTCTGCAATGGCAACCCTGTTATTATATGTTTAATAATTGTAATATTACCATATTCAGAGAGTGACTGACTTGCAGGATTTAAACGTGCGAGATATAACAATGATTTTGAAAAATTTCCCCTTAGAGGTACAGAATATACAGCATATCTTTGATATTGTACTATGTGGTCGGTAACGTTATTTGGAAAAGTGGTAACTTTTATAACATTACAGAGTGAGATAAAAAAGTGCAACAAAGTCAAACGCCATAATTTTTAATTTTTTTTTTAATTTTATTGAATGAAAGCAAAAAATGTCGGAAATAGCATTCAATTTTAGAATATGTTTAGATTTGTTAAAATTGGCCACCTTTGGCACGAATTATGACCTTCAAACGGCTAATGAAACCGTCACACGCTGCCCGAATGTTGCTCTGCGATATGTTGACACATTCCCTGCGAAGCGCTTCCTTGAGGTTATCGACACTTTCTTATTTTTTAGTGCCAACCTTGCTTTCCAAAACACTATAGACACAATAGTCCAACGGAATGGTATCCCGAGATTTGTGCTGGAAATAAAGCGAGGAGCGGCAGTTCACCACTTTCGGTCAAGCGAAGCAACTCTTTAGCTCTTTTGAGTCTATTTTTTGAGCTTATTTACCGAATGGAATATTGCGATATATTCAGCTCACGAGCCATTTTTCGGCCACTGCGACGCGGGTTTCGATCAAGTCGCTTCTTTACTTTTCGAACCATTTCTGCTGATGTTGCTGTTTTCTTCCGTCCACTTCCTTGATGTCGGGTATGATACCAGTATCACGGTAACGAGCGATGGTACGAGACACAAAACATTTATTCACTTTTAAATGCTGGAGTGGTCTAACGATAGCTAATTGTGATTTTCCAGCCAAATATAAAAAAATCACACTATCACGCTTGAATTCCATCACGAATAACTTTATTTCTGGAAAATTCTCACCAAAATGCTTTCGTACGCTTGTAAACAATATAATGAGCTGTCACTGGGATAATTTTAACAGCTGTTGGACGAGTGGCTTAGAAATTACAGCAGTCTGAAATTTGTTTTCTTATAATGATGGGCGAAGAAAACTTAAAGTTTTTGCATGTCGTCTTTTGCACTCAAAATAATGTACAATTTAGATTCTGATGTCAAATGGACAGTTTTCTATTTTATTCAACACACTATGGCATCCCTGGACACAGCAGGCATAGTGGCTACACACGGAAAATTAAAAACGAACATTCATCTCATTGAAGTCGATGTTAAGGCAAATAAATGGGCAACACAAAAAATTGAAAAAAAAAGAAAACAGCAAACTTTCCTGTATTGCGAAAATGCCAGACAGTGGCAGAGAATGTTTGCCAGTTTATTGAGAAACGTTTTTATAGACTATGTTGTTTTTATTGGTGTCTATTCTGTTCGAATATGCCGAAAAGATCAAGAGAAATGTTATTGTTACATTTGGTGTGTGTGCGAGTGTGATTTCATATTTGTTTAAATTTTCGAATTTATTTCGAAAATTAAGGTGAAATCTCATAAACTTTGAGATTTAGTTTTATGCAGATCATCTTCGTTTTGTTTGGTTGCTCATTTAGCATTTTTGGTATGAAGATGATTATAACAATAATTATAGTTAGTTATTCCATCAAAAAATTGGTCGGAAATGTTATATAATTTGGTCGAGTCTTAGTAAATTGAATAAGAATTATAGGTGTGGTATGAGGTTTAATCGTAGGGTGAGATAAAAGAACTGCAACAAAGTCAAACGCCATAATTTTTCCATTTTTTTTTTAATTTTGTTGAATTAATGCAAAAATGTCGGAAATAGCTTTAAATTTAAGAATAAGTTTAGATTGGTTCAAATTGGTCAAATTTGACACGAATTATGGCCTTCCAACGGCCAATGAAACCGTCACACACTGCCCGAATGTTGCTCTGCGGTATTTTGGTCCATTCCCGCGAAACGCTTTCTTGAGGTGATCGACACTTTGGTATTTTTTTAATGCCAACCTTGCTTTCCAAAATACTCCTGACACCATAGTCCAACGAATTGGTATCCGGAGATTTTGGTGGCCATTGTGCGCTGGAAATGAAGCGAGGAACCTCATTTTGTAACCATTCTTGGGTGGCGCGTGCTGAGTCCTGTTGGAATGTACAAGGTCTGCAGCCAAAATATTTGCGTGCCCAAGTCTTTTATTCACCCTCCAGAATATTTTCGCGATAATATTCGGCATTTATTCTGATGTCACGGTCGATTAATACTAACGGAGAGCGACCATCGGCTGAGTTCTGGTGGCCAAACGAAGGTGCACATTTTCAGTTGACCTCTTTGGCAAGTAAAGACGATCGTTTTCAAACTGCTGGACAATAAATGTGTTCTCATCGAGAAAACCAAATTCGGCAGTTCATCACTTTCGGCCAAGCGAAGTAACTCTTTAGCTCTTTTGAGCCTATTTTCTTTCTGTTGCCGTGTGAGTTCTTGCACTTTTTGGAATTTCAATGGCTTTACCCCGAGCTCATTTTTCAATATTTGCCGAATGGAATATTTCGTTATGTTCTGCTCACGAACCATTCTTCGGCCACTTCTAAGTGACTTTCGATCAAGTCGAACCATTTCTGCTGATGTTGCTGTTTTCGTCCGCCCACTTCCTTGACGTAGGGCTACGCTACCAGTATCGCGATAACGAGCGATGGTACGAGATACCAAATATTGATTGACATTTAAATGCTGGAGTGCTCTAACGATAGCCACTTGTGGTTTTCCAGCCAAATATAAAAAAATCAAACTATCACGCTTGAATTTCATCACGAATAACCTTTCTTCTGGAAAATTCTCACCAAAATGCTTTTGTACGCTTGTAAACAATATCATGAGCTGATACTGGAATAATTTTAACACCTGTCGGATGAGTGGCTTAGAATTGACAGCAGTCTGAAGTTGGTTGCAGTTTTTTCATCTCACCCTCTATATATATAAAATGAAGAAAAAAACATTGTAGGTCGGAAGTGGTGCCTAGCCACTTAGTATTACTTATTATTATTATTATTATAAACAAAAACAATCATCGACTTTTATTGACCAGATAATAACTACGTATTTCGAGAGACATGTCCCGTTAAAATAATGTTTTAGTACCCCAATTGGTAATAAGTATTTTTAGTTGGGAGACGGCCTCTGCTCTGAATGTAGTCCTTCTTAAATTCTTATGAACATTTTTATTTTTTACTACAAGTTTTTTTTAAAAATTTGGCAACGCTGTTCCCTGCAGTGCAACAACATTACAACGTGATCACAAGTGGTATAGCTGTAGTACGTTGTTTTTGTTTTTTCTTCTTTTTGAATAAACAAAAATATCATTTGACAATATATGAAATAGATGACATTTTTGTGACTAGTGGCTTGTTTGCGTTTAATACCCTCTTAGTGAAAATTATATACATTGATGCAGGTTGGCCCAGTTGTTAGCCAAAAGTAGAAGGGTTTTCTTTGGTTTTTGTTTTTCTCTTCTTGATGTTTGTTGTTGTCTTTTGTGATCGCTATTTATGTGTGGGACACATACAGAGGTATGCGGCCAAATTGCACGTCAACATATCTGTTGTGTGACGAAATATTTTAAACTACTGGTATAGACTAGCCAAAAAAAAAAAAAAAAAAAATGTGGGCATTTCGAAATTTAAGGTTATTGCTTCTTTGGGTTAAATGCGTAAATATTAGTAAGAAAATAAAACAAATAGTTTTCGACCGAAATCAGAAATTTTTAAATAAATATAATTTTGAGTGGATGTCGTATTTTTTGAGGGAACGTAGATTAAACTCCTTTTAAATGAACTTTTCAGAAGTTGCGATTCGAGGGATAAATTAAACTGTTTGCTTCATTTGCAATACAAAGTTACAGGCTACATTAACATAACATTATCCTAGGGAGTTTTGAAATTTGGAAAATAAGCTATATTGGTATAACGCTGTGCCCCGATTTTGTTTCAACATAATTTCTATACGAATGCGCTATAATAGATTTAAGGGGAATTTTTTTCCTGCCTACTTTGTATCCCCCCATACAGTACCTTCAAATTTTGTAGAACTTCAAAGGTTTTTGAGGAATATTTTGAACCAAATTAGTTGTAATTTGCCAATTCATTCAACGTAATCTAACTTTTTATTTCGTGAATGGTAACACCTAGCTCATATCTGATTTGGAAGATATTCAGTTGCACATGTGATTGAAGAACGCTGGAAAACGTTTTATCATGTAACGGCATAATTCCACTAGTAGGACGGTAAAGGTTGAAGTTTTCCAACTGAATTATTTTCCTCTCTTAAAACCCCTAAAAATATCCTTACACAATTGGCATATATTCCTGATCAGAATAAAGTTCTATGTCGATTAAGCTGTTTTACCTTATTCCGAACTGTACCAGGTATAAACAAATGTGGTCCTATTAATTTGAGATTTTAACATTTCCAAAATACAAAATTTAATACAATTTAGTACTTTTCGTTGTTTTTTGTACGTATTTCCAAAGCTACTTCCAAATCTCAATCTTAGTCATTGACAGTGACCCTAGTAAAATTTTTCAGATTTCAAACACTATCCCTTCCTTATATACCAAATATAGTCCCATTTGGTACTTTTCGAATTTTTTGGTACGCCACACGAAGACGTGGACTGGCACAGACAATTACGAACTTCAAATACCAGATTTGAAACAATTCCGGTGAATAGTATCGCTAAAATAATCGAAATACCGAATATCGGGAGGTTCCGTAACATGGGGGCTATACGAAGACGTGGACCTGCACAGACAATCTCTTGTCATAGGCTGTACCT